ATTACAGTGAAACCCTGAATGTCACAATTTAGCTATTTATGGTAGCACTATTTCCTATTGAAGAATTACAATAGTTCGCTTCCTATAAGATGATAACTTCCAAATATTTGAGCTATATGGGGCGTGAAGTTGAACTGTTTCATCCACCCTTGGTTATAATATTTATAAACCGATTTGCCGATATCAAAAACCCGGCCTTAATAACGCGCTCTAAGACTATGTATATTTGGGAAAGTCTCAGAAGAAAAAAACACGCATTCTAAAGGGAGAAAAGTAAATATATGGAAATATTTTGCTTGGAACCCACGGCATTTTCTAGAGACCCACGACTTCTTATTTGGGACCCACGACTTTTTATTCGTGACCCACGACTTTTTATTCGGGACCCACGACTTTTTACCCACGCTTTTTTACATACGACCCACGCCTTTTTACCCACGACCCACGCCTTTTTACCCACGACTCACGCCTTTTTACCCACGACCCACGCTTTTTTACCCACGACCCACGCCTTTCTACCCACGACCCACGCCTTTTTACCCACGACCCACGACATCTACCCACGACCCACGACTGTTAGCTAGTCCCAAAATTTTAAGTATTTAGTGGAAACACCGATCAACATTTCTTTAAAATGGAGCAACTAGGAAAGTTGAGACATACATATTCTCATGCATTTTGTTTAATAAAAACAATTAACAGGTAAGATTTTGAATATTTCGAAAACTTAATATATACATATGGCAAAGACAGGTATTTTATAAAGATTAAAGTACAGCGAAAGTGCAGTATTAAAAGTAGAATTGTTTATATTAACTCCATAAATATTTAAGATCAATTTCAATAACTTTTATTGTTTTGCTTCAGTCTTCACTTATAATCTTAAAAGATGGAAAAATCGAAGGAGCTTTCGGGGGCACAAAAACGTAAACAGAAAAAGATTCTTTGGGAAAAACGAGAAAGTAAAAATTCAAAGATTCGAAAAATAACCAGTTTGTTTGATCGTGTAAGTACATCTGCAACTGCTAGCAAAGAAGCCAACTCCAAAGGACAGATGGATACAGGAGACAACGATATAGGTCTAGTTGTTTCTGAAACTGAGATTGAATCCCAAGAATGTACTGAATGTTCCAGTGGTTCCATACGTCAGGGTTAGTGAACTTTTTTATTCATTATATATTGACTTTTAAAATTGACATAGCAAAGTAATAAGTTAAAATTGCTTGAATTAAGACCTGAAATGTTTGTTTGATTTCATGGAAATATGTTTGTACTAATTTCCAGGAAATTTTAAAAGTGTGAAATTAAGTGAGATAGCAGAAAGTCCAGATGGTGATGATCACATTGGCCACACGATGAGCAAATCATTAGATGAATCTGAATTGAGTACTAATATACCAGTAGCCGGTATTGTGAAAATAATTATATCTTGTAGAATTGCACATAGGGTAGGCCTATGACTTAATCTGATCA